TCCCTTCTCTAATTATCAATACAGTTCACCAAGTCCATGGTTATCTCCCTTTTTAACCACACTCATTTTCCGTTTTCCTTCTTACATCATCAATGATAATTCTCTTCACTTCCATGGTTATCTTCCAAGAATACAGCACCTCATTTCCGTTTTCCCTTCTCTAATTATCATCATGATGTATTCAAGTCCATGGTTATCTCCCGCTCTTCCAATTTTACCCTTCTCCTTATCAATTGTTCTTTCAAGTCCATGGTTTTCTCTTACATCATCACACTCATTCTCGTTTTCCCCTTCTTTAATTATCAATGATAATACAGCACCTGGGTTTTCCCTTTTAACCACACTCATTTTCCGTTTTTCCTTTCTAATTATCAATGATATTCTCCACTTCAAGTCCATGGTTATCAAGAATACAGCACCTGGCATTTTCCGTTTTCCCTTCTCTAATTATCAATGATAATATTTCTTTCAAAGTCCATGGTTATCTCCTTTTAATTTCATTTTCCGTTTCAATGTTCTTCTCTAATTATTCCGAATAATGCACCGTTTTCACCTTTCCATGGTTTGTTTTAACCACACTCATTTTCCGTTTTCCCCTTCTCTAATTATTCTGATAATGTTCTAGCTTTTCCAAGTTATACAGCACCTGGCATTTCCGTTTTCCCCTTCTTTAATTATCAATCATAATATTCTAGCTTCAAGTCCATGGTTCTTCCAAGAAACCACACCTGGCATTTCCGTTTTCCCCCTTCTCTTTTATCAATGATAGCTTCATTTCCATGGTTATCTCCCTTTTAACATCATCAATGATAATCCGTTTCTTCAAGTTTGGTTATCTCAAGAATACACCACCTGGCATTTTCCGTTTTCCCCTTTCTAAGCTTCCATCATCAATATTCTCCAGCTTCCCGCTCTTCCAAGAAACAGCACCTGGCATTTCCGTTTTTCCTTTCTCTAATTATCATGATAATTTCCACTTCCAAGCTCTTCCAAGAATACAGCACCTGGTTTTCCGTTTTCCCGCACACTCTTTCGTTTTACCCCTTCTTTAATTATCAATGATAATATTCTAGCTTCAAGTCCGTTATCTTCCTTTTAACAGCACCTGGCATTTCCGTTTTCCCACTTCTCTAATATCAATCATAATGTATTCTTCACTTCCCGCTCTTCCAAGAATACAGCACTCATTTTCCGTTTTTTTTTTATCAATGATAATTTTCTAGCTTCAAGTCCGTTTTGGTTATCTCCTTTTCATCAACTCATTTTCCGTTTTCCCCTTCTCTAATTTTCCAAGATAATGTTCAGCTTCAAGTCCACCTTTTAACCACACTCATTTTCCGTTTTCCCCTTCTTTCAAGCTTACATCATCAAGTATTCTTCAACTTCCCGCTCTTCCAAGAATACAGCACCTGGCATTTCCGTTTTCCCGCTTCTTTTAATGTTCTAGCTTCAAGTCCATGGTTATCTCCCTTTTAACCACATCATTCAAGTATTCTCCACTTTTAATTTTCAAAGAATACAGCACCTTCATTTCCGTTTATCTCCTTTCAACCACACATCATTTCCGTTTCCCCTTCTTTAATTATCAATGATAATATTCTTTTTTCAAGTCCTTGGTTCTTCTCCTTTACAGCACCTCATTTTCCGTTTTCCCGCACTTTAATTATCAATCATAATGTTCTAGCTTCAAGCTCTTGGTTATACAGCACCTCATTTCCGTTTTCCCCTTCTTTCAATTATCAATGATAATGTTCTAGCTTCAAGTCCAAGGTTACAGCACCTGGCATTTCCGTTTCCCCCTTTAACCACTCATCATTTTCCGTTTTTCCAAGTTTTCTAATTGGCATTTCCGTTTTCCCGCACTTTAAGCTTACATCATCAAGTATTCTCCACTTCCCGCTCTTCAAGAATACAGCACCTGGCATTTTCCGTTTTCCCGCACTTTTAATTATCAATGATAATGTTCTAGCTTCAAGTCCAAGTATTCCTTTTCCACTCATTTTCCGTTTTTTCAATGATTTTCATCATCAAGTATTTCCACTTCCCTAATTCCAAGAATACAGCACCTGGTTATTTCCTTTTAACCCCTCATTTTCCGTTTTCCCCATCATCAAGTATCAATGATACTTGTTCTCTTCAAGAATACAGCACCTGGCATTTCATTTTCCCTTCATTTACTTTCAATCTTTCTAGCTTCAAGTCCATGGTTATTCCTTTTAACCACAACATCATTTCCGTTTTCCCCTTCTCTTCCAAGAATACAGCTTCACCTGGCATTTCCTTTTTTCCCGCATTTTCCGTTTTCCATCATCAAGTATTCTTCTAGCTTCCCATGCTCTTCCAAGAATACAGCACCTGGCATTTTCCGTTTTCCTTCACTTTAATTATCATCATAATATTCTAGCTTCAAGTTTTCATGGTTACTCACCTCCAGTTTTCATTTTCCCTTTTCAATGCTTTCATCATCAAGTATTCTCTACTTTCCGCTCTTCCAAGAATACAGCACCTGGCATTTCCGTTTTCCCGCACTTTCAAGCTTCATCATAATTTTCTCTAGCTTCAAGTCCATCAAGTCTATTTTCCACTTCCCTCATTTTCTTCAATTAATATGATAATGTTCTGGCATTTCCGTTTTATCTCCTTTCAACCACACTACATCCATCCTTCTTTTAATTATTCTGATACTTCCCGCTTCTTCCAAGAATACAGCACCTGGCATTTCCGTTTTCCCTTTACTTTCAATGATAATGTTCATCATGGTTTTCACCTGGCATTTTCCGTTTTCCCTTCTTTAATTATCAATCCGCTCTCCATGGTTTCTCAGAATACAGCACCTGGCATTTTCCGTTTTCCCCGCACTTTCAAGCTTACATCATCAAGTATTCTCCACTTCCCGCTCTTCAAGAATACAGCACCTGGCATTTCCGTTTTCCCACACTTTCAAGCTTATCATCATAATGTTCTAGCTTCAAGTCCTTATTTTCAAGAATTAACCACCTGGCATTTCCGTTTTCCCCCTGGTTACTTTCAATTTTGTTCCATCATCAAGTATTCTCCACTTCATGGTTCTTCCAAGAATACAGCACCTGGCATTTTCCGTTTTCCCTTTTCTAATTATCATCATAATGTTCTAGCTTCAAGTCCATGGTTTCCCTTTTAAGCACCTGGCATTTTCCGTTTTCCCCTTCTTTAATTATCATGATAATATTCTTCAAGTCCGCTGGTTTCCAAGAATACAGCACCTGGCATTTCCGTTTTCCCGCACTTTCAATTATCATCATAATATTCTCCACTTCCCGCTCTTCCAAGAATACAGCACCTGGCACTCATTTTCCGTTTTCCCCGCACTTTCTAATTTACATCATAATGTATTCTCTTCACTTCCATGGTTCTTCCAAGAATACAGCACATTGGCGTTTTCCGTTTTCCCTAATTATCACTGATAATGTTCTTTACTTCTCCGCTTTTTAACCACCTGTCATTTTCCGTTTCATTTTCCGTTTTCCTTTCAAGTATTCTCCACTTCCCCGCTCTTCCAAGAATACAGCACCTGGCATTTCCGTTTTCCTTCTCACTTTCTGATAATGTTTAGCTTCATCAAGTATTCTCCACTCATTCCGTTTTCCCCTTCTCTAATTATCAATGATAAATACATGGTTATCTCCTTTTATACCTGCATTTTCCGTTTTCCCTTCTTTAATTATCATCATAATGTTCTAGCTTCAAGTCCAAGAATCTCAGCACCTGGCATTTTCCGTTTTCCCGCACTAATTTCAAGCTTACATCATCATGGTTATTCTCCACTTCCCGCTCTTCTCTAATTATCAATACAGCATGTTCCTTGGTCCATGGTTTTCCGTTTAACCCACTCATTTTCCGTTTTCCTTCTTATTATCATCATAATATTCTCTACTTCAAGTCCATGGTTTTCCAAGAATACAGCACCTGGCATTTCCGTTTTCCCCTTCTTTCAATTATCAATGATAATCAAGTATTCTCCATGGTTATCTCTTCCAAGAATACAGCATTTTCCATTTCCGTTTTTTAATTATCTTTCAAGCTTACATCATCAAGTATTCTCCTTCTCTAATTATCAATGATAATGTTTCTTCAAGAATACACCACCTCATTTTCCGTTTTCCCCTTTTTCAGCTTACATCATCAATATTCTCCACTTCCCGCTCTTCCAAGAATACAGCACCTGGCATTTCGTTTTCCGTTTTCAAGCTTACATCATCAAGTGTTTCCACTTACTTCCCGCTCTTCCAAGAATACAGCACTCATTTTCCGTTTTCCCCTTCTTTCAAGCTTACATCATCAAATATTCTCCACTTCCCGCTCTTCCAAGAATACAGCACCTGGCATTTCCGTTTTCCCCACTTTCAAGCTTACATCATCAAGTATTCTCTTCTTCCCGCTCTTCCAAGAATACAGCACCTGGCATTTCCGTTTTCCCGCACTTTCAAGCTTACATCATCAAGTATTCTCCACTTCCCGCTCTTTCAAGAATACAGCATTTGGCGTTTTCCCTTTTTTATCACTTTCAAGTTTACATCATCAAGTATTCTCCACTTCCCGCTCTTCCAAGAATACAGCACCTAATGTTTTCCGTTTTCCCGCACTTTCCTTTTAACCACATCATCAAGTATTCTCCACTTCCCGCTCTTCAATGAATACAGCACCTGGCATTTCCCTTTTAACCCCGCACTTTCAAGCTTACATCATCAAGTATTCTCACTTCAAGATAATGTTCCATGCTCTTCCAAGAATACAGCACCTGGCATTTTCCGTTTTCCCGCACTTTCAAGCTTACATCATCAAGTATTCTCCACTTCATGCTCTTCCAAGAATAAGCACCTGGCATTTTTCCGTTTTCCATGATAATTTCTAGCTTACATCATCAAGTATTCGTTTTCTAGCTTCTTTAATTATCCGCTCTTCCAAGAATACAGCACCTGGCATTTCCGTTTTCCCCGCACTTTCAAATTACATCATCAAGTATGTTCTCCTTCCCGCTCTTCCAAGAATACAGCACCTGGCATTTTCCGTTTTCCCTTCTCACTTTCAAGCTTACATGTTCAAGTATTCTCCACTTCCCGCTCTTCCAAGAATACAGCACCTGGCATTTCCGTTTTCCCCGCTTCTTTCAAGCTTACATCATAATGTTATTCTCCACTTCCCGCTCTTCCAAGAATACAGCACCTGGCATTTCCGTTTTCCCTTCTCTAATTATCATCATCAAGTATTCTCCACTTCCCGTTCTTCCAAGAATACAGCACCTGGCATTTCCGTTTTCCCCACTTTCAAGCTTACATCATCAAGTATTCTCCACTTCCCGCTCTTCCAAGAATACAGCACCTGGCATTTCCGTTTTCCCACACTCATTTTACATCATCAAGTATTCTCTACTTCCCGCTCTTCCAAGAATACAGCACCTGTTTTCCCTTTTATTTCCGTTTTCCCGCACTTTCATTTTCCCTTCCATCATCAAGTATTCTCCACTTCCGCTCTTCCAAGAATACAGCACCTGGTTATTTCCTTTTTCCCGCACTTTCAAGTTTACATCATCAAGTAATTTCAATGATAATGTTCTAGCTTTCCCCGCTCTTCCAAGAATACAGCACCTGGCATTTCCGTTTTCCCCTTTTTAGCTTACATCATCAAGTATTCTCTTCACTTCCCGCTCTTCCAAGAATACAGCACCTGGCATTTCCGTTTTCCCGCCTTTCAAGCTTACATCATCAAGTATTCTCCACTTCCCGCTCTTCTCAAGAATACAGCACCTGGCATTTCCGTTTTCCCCTTTTCAAATTACATCATCAAGTATTCTCCACTTCCCGCTCTTCAAGAATACAGCACCTGGCATTTCCGTTTTCCCGCACTTTATCAATGACATCATCAAGTATTCTCCACTTCCCGCTCTTCCAAGAATACAGCACCTGGCATTTCCGTTTTCCCGCTACTTTCAAGCTTACATCATCAAGTATTCTCTCCTTCCCGCTCTTCCAAGAATACAGCACCTGGCATTTCCGTTTTCCCGTTTACATCATCAAGTATAAACTCTTCAAGCATGGTTATCTCCCTTTTTCCCGCACTTTTTTCCGTTTTCCCTTCTCTAATTATCAATGATCTTTCAAGAATACAGCACCTGGCATTTCCGTTTTCCCGCATTTTCGTTTTACATCATCAAGTATTCTCCACTTCCCGCTCTTCAAGAATACAGCACCTGGCATTTCCGTTTTTCCCGCACTTTCAGTTTTTACATCATCAAGTATTCTCCACTTCCCGCTCTTCAAGAATACAGCACCTGGCATTTCCGTTTTCCCCACTTTCAAGCTTACATCATCAAGTGTTCTCCACTTCGCTCTTCCAAGAATACAGCACCTGTATTCTCATTTCCGTTTTCCCGCACTTTCAAGCTTCACATCATCAAGTATTCTCCACTTCCCGCTCTTCCAAGAATACAGCACCTGGCATTTCCGTTTTCCCTCTTTAGCACTTTCAAGCTTACATCATCAAGTATTCTCCACTTCCCGCTCTTCCAAGAATACAGCACCTGGCATTTCCGTTTTCCCGCACTTTCAAGCTTACATCATCAAGTATTCTCCACTTCCCGCTCTTCCAAGAATACAGCACCTGGCATTTCCGTTTTCCCCACTTTCAAGCTTACATCATCAAGTATTCTCCACTTCCCGCTCTTCAAGAATACAGCACCTGGCATTTCCGCACTTTTCCCGCTCTTTAAAGAATACAGCACCTTCATTTCCGTTTTTCATCAAGTATTCAACTTCCCGCTCTTCAAGAATACAGCACCTGGCATTTCCGTTTTCCCTTCTTTCACTTACAATCATCATATTCTCCATCTCTTCCAAGAATACAGCACCTGGCATTTTCCGTTTTCCCGTATTTCCCACTCATTTCCGTTTCTCCAACACATCATCAAGTATTTTCCTTCGCTCTTCCAAGAATACAGCACCTGGCATTTCCGTTTTCCCCACTTTCAAGCTTACATCATCAAGTATTCTCCACTTCCCGCTCTTCCAAGAATACAGCACCTGGCATTTTCGTTTTCCCCACTTTCTAGCTTACATCATCAAGTATTTCCACTTCCCGCTCTTCCAAGAATACAGCACCTGGCATTTCCGTTTTCCCGCACTTTCAAGCTTACATCATCAAGTATTCTCCACTTCCCGCTCTTCCAAGAATACAGCACCTGGCATTTCCGTTTTCCCGCACTTTCAAGCTTACATCATCAAGTATTCTCTACTTCTCACAAGAATACAGCACCTGGCATTTCGTTTTCCCGCTTACATCATCAGTATTCTTCTTCAAGAATACAGCACCTGGCATTTAATTTTTTCCCGCACTTTCAAGCTTACATCATCAAGTATTCTCCACTTCCCGCTCTTCCAAGAATACAGCACCTGGCGTTTTTCCGTTTTCCGCACTTTCAAGCTTACATCATCAAGTCATCATCAAGTATTCTCCACTTCCCGCTCTTCCAAGAATACAGCACCTGGCATTTCCGTTTTCCCGCACTTTCAAGCTTACATCATCAAGTATTCTCCACTTCGCTCTTCCAAGAATACAGCACCTGGCATTTTCCGTTTTCGTACTTTTTTCATCAAGTATTCTCCACTTTCAAGCACTTTCAGCTTACATCATCAAGTATTCTCCACTTCCCGCTCTTCCAAGAATACAGCACCTGGCATTTCCGTTTTCCCGCACTTTCAAGCTTACATCATCAAGTATTCTCCACTTCCCGCTCTTCCAAGAATACAGCACCTGGCATTTCCGTTTTCCCACTTTCAAGCTTACATCATCAAGTATTCTCCACTTCCCGCTCTTCCAAGAATACAGCACCTGGCATTTCCGTTTTCCCGCACTTTCAAGCTTACATCATCAAGTATTCTCCACTTCCCGCTCTTCCAAGAATACAGCACCTGGCATTTCCGTTTTTCCCCTTTCAAGCTTACATCATCAAGTATTCTCCACTTCCCGCTCTTCCAGAATACAGCACCTGGCATTTCCGTTTTCCCTTCCCGCTCTTTCAACCTGGCATTTCCGTTTTACTTTCAGCTTCATCAAGTATTCTCTACTTCCCGCTCTTCCAAGAATACAGCACCTGGCATTTCCGTTTTCCCGCACTTTCAAGCTTACATCATCAAGTATTCTCCACTTCCCGCTCTTCCAAGAATACAGCACCTGGCATTTCCGTTTTCCCCACTTTCAAGCTTACATCATCAAGTATTCTCCACTTCCCGCTCTTCCAGAATACAGCACCTGGCATTTCCGTTTTCTCTTTCAATGTTTTAATGTTTCATCAAGTATTCTCCACTTCCCGCTCTTCCAAGAATACAGCACCTGGCATTTCCGTTTTCCCTTTCAAGCTTACATCATCAATATTCTCTACTTCGCTCTTCAAGAATACAGCACCTGGCATTTCCGTTTTCCCGCACTTTCAAGCTTACATCATCAAGTATTCTCCACTTCCCGCTCTTCCAAGAATACAGCACCTGGCATTTCCGTTTTCCCTTTCAAGCTTATCATCATCAAGTATTCTCTACTTCCCGCTCTTCCAAGAATACAGCACCTGGCATTTCCGTTTTCCTGCACTTTCAAGCTTACATCATCAAGTATTCTCCACTTCCCGCTCTTCCAAGAATACAGCACCTGGCATTTCCGTTTTCCCGCACTTTCAAGCTTACATCATCAAGTATTCTCCACTTCCCGCTCTTCCAAGAATACAGCACCTGGCATTTCCGTTTTCCCCTTCTTTCAAGCTTACATCATCAAGTATTCTCCACTTCCCGCTCTTCCAAGAATACAGCACCTGGCATTTCCGTTTTCCCGCACTTTAATTACATCATCAAGTATTCTCCACTTCCCGCTCTTCCAAGAATACAGCACCTGGCATTTCCGTTTTCCCGCACTTTCAAGCTTACATCATCAAGTATTCTCCACTTCCCGCTCTTCCAAGAATACAGCACCTGGCATTTCCGTTTTCCTGCACTTTCAAATTTTCCACTTTCAGCTTACATCAAGTATTCTCCACTTCCCGCTCTTCCAAGAATACAGCACCTGGCATTTCCGTTTTCCCGCACTTTCAAGCTTACATCATCAAGTATTCTCTACTTCCCGCTCTTCCAAGAATACAGCACCTGGCATTTCCGTTTTTCCCCACTTTCAAGCTTACATCATCATGTATTCTCCACTTCCCGCTCTTCAAGAATACAGCACCTGGCATTTCCCGTTTTCCCGCACTTTCAAGCTTACATCATCAAGTATTCTCCACTTCCCGCTCTTCAAGAATACAGCACCTGGCATTTCCGTTTTCCCGCACTTTCAAGCTTACATCATCAAGTATTCTCCACTTCCCGCTCTTCCAATAATACCTGGCACCTGGCATTCTTTCTTCTTTTCCTGGCACTTTCAAGCTTACATCATCAAGTATTCTCCACTTCCCGCTCTTCCAAGAATACAGCACCTGGCATTTCCGTTTTCCCGCACTTTCAAGCTTACATCATCAAGTATTCTCCACTTCCCGCTCTTCCAAGAATACAGCACCTGGCATTTCCGTTTTCCCGCACTTTCAAGCTTACATCATCAAGTATTCTCCACTTCCCGCTCTTCCAAGAATACAGCACCTGGCATTTCCGTTTTCCCGCACTTTCAAGCTTACATCATCAAGTATTCTCCACTTCCCGCTCTTCCAAGAATACAGCACCTGGCATTTCCGTTTTCCCCACTTTCAAGCTTACATCATCAAGTATTCTCTACTTCCCGCTCTTCCAAGAATACAGCACCCATTTCCGGCACTTTCAAGCTTACATCATCGTTTTCCACTTCCCGCTCTTCAAGAATCAGCACCTGGCATTTCCGTTTTCCCACCCTTTCATCACATCATCAATTCTCTACTTCCCGCTCTTCCAAGAATACAGCACCTGGCATTTCCGTTTTCCCGCACTTTCAAGCTTACATCATCAAGTATTCTCTACTTCCCGCTCTTCCAAGAATACAGCACCTGGCATTTCCGTTTTACGGCACCTTTTCCCACTTTCAAGCTTACATCATCAAGTATTCTCTACTTCCCGCTCTTCCAAGAATACAGCACCTGGCATTTCCGTTTTTCCCGCACTTTCAAGCTTACATCATCAAGTATTCTCTACTTCTCTCTTCCCAGCACCTCATTTCCGTTTTTCCCTTTACTTACATCATCAAGTATTTCCGCTCTTTTCCAGCACCTGGCATTTCCGTTTTCACTTTCAAGCTTACATCATCAAGTATTCTCCACTTCCCGCTCTTCCAAGAACCAGCACCTGGCATTTCCGTTTTCTTTCAAGCTTACATCATCAAGTATTCTCACTTCCCGCTCTTTTCGTTTTCCTGGCATTTCCGTTTTCCCCTTTCAAGCTTACATCATCAATTCTCCTTCCCGCTCTTCTCCACCTGGCATTCCCGTTTTGCTTTCTTCATCAATTCTCTACTTCCCTCTTCAAGAATACAGCACCTGGCATTTCCGTTTTCCCGCACTTTCAAGCTTACATCATCAAGTATTCTCCACTTCCCGCTCTTCCAAGAATACAGCACCTGGCATTTCCGTTTTCCCGCACTTTCAAGCTTACATCATCAAGTATTCTCCACTTCCCGCTCTTCCAAGAATACAGCACCTGGCATTTCCGTTTTCCCGCACTTTCAAGCTTACATCATCAAGTATTTCTCCACTTCCCGCTCTTCAAGAATACAGCACCTGGCATTTCCGTTTTCCCGCACTTTCAAGCTTACATCATCAAGTATTCTCCACTTCCCGCTCTTCCAAGAATACAGCACCTGGCATTTCCGTTTTCCCCACTTTCAAGCTTACATCATCAAGTATTCTCCACTTCCCGCTTTTCCAAGAATACAGCACCTGGCATTTCCGTTTTCCCGCACTTTCAAGCTTACATCATCAAGTATTCTCCACTTCCCGCTCTTCCAAGAATACAGCACCTGGCATTTCCGTTTTCCCGCACTTTCAAGCTTACATCATCAAGTATTCTCTACTTCCCGCTCTTCCAAGAATACAGCACCTGGCATTTCCGTTTTCCCGCACTTTCAAGCTTACATCATCAAGTATTCTCCACTTCCCGCTCTTCCAAGAATACAGCACCTGGCATTTCCGTTTTCCGCACTTTCAAGCTTACATCATCAAGTATTCTCTACTTCCGCTCTTCCAAGAATACAGCACCTGGCGTTTTCCGTTTCCGCACTTTCAAGCTTACATCATCAAGTATTCTCTACTTCCCGCTCTTCCAAGAATACAGCACCTGGCATTTCCGTTTTCCCGCACTTTCAAGCTTACATCATCAAGTATTCTCTACTTCCCGCTCTTCCAAGAATACAGCACCTGGCATTTCCGTTTTCCCGCACTTTCAAGCTTACATCATCAAGTACAGCATTCGTTTTCCACTTCCCGCTCTTCCAAGAATACAGCACCTGGCATTTCCGTTTTTCCCGCACTTTCAAGCTTACATCATCAAGTATTCTCCACTTCCCGCTCTTCCAAGAATACAGCACCTGGCATTTCCGTTTTTCCCGCACTTTCAAGCTTACATCATCAAGTATTCTCTACTTCCCGCTCTTCAAGAATACAGCACCTGGCATTTCCGTTTTCCCGCACTTTCAAGCTTACATCATCAAGTATTCTCCACTTCCCGCTCTTCCAAGAATACAGCACCTGGCATTTCCGTTTTCCCGCACTTTCAAGCTTACATCATCAAGTATTCTCCACTTCCCGCTCTTCCAAGAATACAGCACCTGGCATTTCCGTTTTCCCGCACTTTCAAGCTTACATCATCAAGTATTCTCTACTTCCCGCTCTTCCAAGAATACAGCACCTGGCATTTCCGTTTTCCCGCACTTTCAAGCTTACATCATCAAGTATTCTCCACTTCCCGCTCTTCCAAGAATACAGCACCTGGCATTTCCGTTTTCCCGCACTTTCAAGCTTACATCATCAAGTATTCTCCACTTCCCGCTCTTCCAAGAATACAGCACCTGGCATTTCCGTTTTCCCGCACTTTCAAGCTTACATCATCAAGTATTCTCCACTTCCCGCTCTTCCAAGAATACAGCACCTGGCATTTCCGTTTTCCCGCACTTTCAAGCTTACATCATCAAGTATTCTCCACTTCCCGCTCTTCCAAGAATACAGCACCTGGCATTTCCGTTTTCCCGCACTTTCAAGCTTACATCATCAAGTATTCTCCACTTCCCGCTCTTCCAAGAATACAGCACCTGGCATTTCCGTTTTTCCCCTTTCAGCTTACATCATCAAGTATTCTCTACTTCCCGCTCTTCAGAATACAGCACCTGGCATTTCCGTTTTCCCGCACTTTTTCTTACATCATCTATTCTTCCTTCCGCTCTTCCAAGAATACAGCACCTGGCATCAAGCTTTCCGTTTTCCCGCACTTTCCACTTCCCGCTCTTAGAATCATCACCTGGCATTTCCGTACTTTCATCATCAAGTATTCTCCCGCTCTTCCAAGAATACAGCACCTGGCATTTCCGTTTTCCACTTTCAAGCTTTACATCATCAAGTATTCTCTACTTCGCTCTTCAAGAATACAGCACCTGGCATTTCCGTTTTTCTTTCAACTTACATCATCAAGTATTCTCTTCCCGCTCTTCAAGAATACAGCACCTGGCATTTCCGTTTTCCCGCACTTTCAAGCTTACATCATCAAGTATTCTCTACTTCCGCTCTTCAAGAATACAGCACCTGGCATTTCCGTTTTCCCGCACTTTCAAGCTTACATCATCAAGTATTCTCCACTTCCCGCTCTTCCAAGAATACAGCACCTGGCATTTCCGTTTCCCGCACTTTCAAGCTTACATCATCAAGTATTCTCCACTTCCCGCTCTTCCAAGAATACAGCACCTGGCATTTACGTTTTCCCGCACTTTCAAGCTTACATCATCAAGTATTCTCCACTTCCCGCTCTTCCAAGAATACAGCACCTGGCATTTCCGTTTTCCCGCACTTTCAAGCTTACATCATCAAGTATTCTCTACTTCCCGCTCTTCCAAGAATACAGCACCTGGCATTTCCGTTTTCCCGCACTTTCAAGCTTACATCATCAAGTATTCTCTACTTCCCTGGCTCTTCAAGAATACAGCACCTGGCACCTGGCATTTCCGTTTTCCCGCACTTTCAAGCTTACATCATCAAGTATTCTCCACTTCCCGCTCTTCCAAGAATACAGCACCTGGCATTTCCGTTTTCCCGCACTTTCAAGCTTACATCATCAAGTATTCTCCACTTCCCGCTCTTCCAAGAATACAGCACCTGGCCTTTCCGTTTTCCCGCACTTTCAAGCTTACATCATCAAGTATTCTCCACTTCCCGCTCTTCCAAGAATACAGCACCTGGCATTTCCGTTTTTCCCGCACTTTCAAGCTTACATCATCAAGTATTTCTCCACTTCCGCTCTTCCAAGAATACAGCACCTGGCATTTCCGTTTTCCCGCACTTTCAAGCTTACATCATCAAGTATTCTCCACTTCCCGCTCTTCCAAGAATACAGCACCTGGCATTTCCGTTTTTCCCGCACTTTCAAGCTTACATCATCAAGTATTCTCCACTTCCCGCTCTTCCAAGAATACAGCACCTGGCATTTCCGTTTTCCCGCACTTTCAAGCTTACATCATCAAGTATTCTCTACTTCCCGCTCTTCCAAGAATACAGCACCTGGCATTTCCGTTTTCCCCACTTTCAAGCTTACATCATCAAGTATTCTCCACTTCCCGCTCTTCCAAGAATACAGCACCTGGCATTTCCGTTTTCCCGCACTTTCAAGCTTACATCATCAAGTATTCTCCACTTCCCGCTCTTCCAAGAATACAGCACCTGGCATTTCCGTTTTCCCGCTTACATCATCTTTCACTTCCCGCTCTTCAAGAATACACATCATCAAGTATTCTCCACTTCCCGCTCTTCCAAGAATACAGCACCTGGCATTTCCGTTTTCCCGCACTTTCAAGCTTACATCATCAAGTATTCTCCACTTCCCGCTCTTCCAAGAATACAGCACCTGGCATTTCCGTTTTCCCGCACTTTCAAGCTTACATCATCAGTATTCTCTACTTCCCGCTCTTCAAGAATACAGCACCTGGCATTTCCGTTTTCCCGCACTTTCAAGCTTACATCATATTCTCCACTTCCCGCTCTTCCAAGAATACAGCACCTGGCATTTCCGTTTTCCCGTATTCTTACATCATCAAGTATTCTCCACTTCCCGCTCTTCCAAGAATACAGCACCTGGCATTTCCGTTTTCCCGCACTTTCAAGCTTACATCATCAAGTATTCTCCACTTCCCGCTCTTCCAAGAATACAGCACCTGGCATTTCCGTTTCCCACTTTCAAGCTTACATCATCAAGTATTCTCCACTTCCCGCTCTTCCAAGAATACAGCACCTGGCATTTTCCGTTTTTCCCGCACTTTCAAGCTTACATCATCAAGTATTCTCCACTTCCCGCTCTTCCAAGAATACAGCACCTGGCATTTCCGTTTTCCCGCACTTTCAAGCTTACATCATCAAGTATTCTCCACTTCCCGCTCTTCAAGAATACAGCACCTGGCATTTCCGTTTTCCCGCACTTTCAAGCTTACATCATCAAGTATTCTCCACTTCCCGCTCTTCCAAGAATACAGCACCTGGCATTTCCGTTTTCCCGCACTTTCAAGCTTACATCATCAAGTATTCTCTACTTCCCGCTCTTCCAAGAATACAGCACCTGGCATTTCCGTTTTCCCGCACTTTCAAGCTTACATCATCAAGTATTCTCCACTCAAGAATCCCGCTCTTCTTCAAGAATACAGCACCTGGCATTTCCGTTTTCCCGCACTTTCAAGCTTACATCATCAAGTATTCTCCACTTCCCGCTCTTCCAAGAATACAGCACCTGGCATTTCCGTTTTCCCGCACTTTCAAGCTTACATCATCAAGTATTCTCCACTTCCCGCTCTTCCAAGAATACAGCACCTGGCATTTCCGTTTTCCCGCACTTTCAAGCTTACATCATCAAGTATTCTCCACTTCCCGCTCTTCCAAGAATACAGCACCTGGCATTTCCGTTTTCCCGCACTTTCAAGCTTACATCATCAAGTATTCTCCACTTCCGCTCTTCCAAGAATACAGCACCTGGCATTTCCGTTTTCCCGTACTTTCAAGCTTACATCATCAAGTATTCTCCACTTCCCGCTCTTCCAAGAATACAGCACCTGGCATTTCCGTTTTCCCGCACTTTCAAGCTTACATCATCAAGTATTCTCCACTTCCCGCTCTTCCAAGAATACAGCACCTGGCATTTCCGTTTTCCCGTACTTTCAAGCTTACATCATCAAGTATTCTCCACTTCCCGCTCTTCCAAGAATACAGCACGCATTTCCGGCAGCTTTTCGTTTTCCCGCTCTTTCATCATTTACGTTTCATCAAGTATTCTCCACTTCCCGCTCTTCCAAGAATACAGCACCTGGCATTTCCGTTTTCCCGCACTTTCAAGCTTACATCATCAAGTATTCTCCACTTCCCTCTTCCAAGAATACAGCACCTGGCATTTTCCGTTTCCCCACTTTCAAGCTTACATCATCAGTATTCTCTACTTCCCGCTCTTCCAAGAACAGCACCTGGCATTTCCGTTTTCGCACTTTCAAGCTTACATCATCAAGTATTCTCCACTTCCCGCTCTTCCAAGAATACAGCACCTGGCATTTCCGTTTTCCGTCTTTCAAGCTTACATCATCAAGTATCATCCACTTCCCGCTCTTCCAAGAATACAGCACCTGGCATTTCCGTTTTCCCGTACTTTCAAGCTTACATCATCAAGTATTCTCTACTTCCCGCTCTTCAAGAATACAGCACCTGGCATTTCCGTTTTCCCGTATTTCAAGCTTACATCAAGTATTCTCCACTTCCCGCTCTTCCAAGAATACAGCACCTGGCATTTCCGTTTTCCCGTACTTTCAAGCTTACATCATCAAGTATTCTCTTCCCGCTCTTCCAAGAATACAGCACCTGGCATTTCCGTTTTCCCGCACTTTCAAGCTTACATCATCAAGTATTCTCTGGCTCTTCCAAGAATACAGCACCTGGCATTTTCCGCACTTTCAAGCTTACATCATCAAGTATTCTCCACTTCCAAGAATACAGCACCTGGCATTTTCCGTTTTCCCGCACTTTCAAGCTTACATCATCAAGTATTCTCTACTTCCCGCTCTTCCAAGAATACAGCACCTGGCATTTCCGTTTTTCCCGCACTTTCAGCTTACATCATCAAGTATTCTCCACTTCCCGCTCTTCCAAGAATACAGCACCTGGCATTTCCGTTTTCCCGCACTTTCAAGCTTACATCATCAAGTATTTCACTTCCCGCTCTTCCAGAATACAGCACGTTTTTCCGTGGTATTCTCCACTTCCCGCTCTTCAAGAATACAGCACCTGGCATTTCCGTTTTCCCGCACTTTCAAGCTTACATCATCAAGTATTTTCCACTTCCCGCTCTTCCAAGAATACAGCACCTGGCACGTTTTTCTTTCCACATCATCAAGTATTTCCCGCTCTTCAAGAATACAGCACCTGGCATTTCCGTTTCCCGCCTTACATCATCATCAAGTATTCTCCACTTCCCGCTCTTCCAAGAATACAGCACCTGGCATTTCCCTTTTCCCGTACTTTCAAGCTTACATCATCAAGTATTCTCCACTTCCCGCTCTTCCAAGAATACAGCACCTGGCATTTCCGTTTTCCCGTATTTCAAGCTTACATCATCAAGTATTCTCCACTTCCCGCTCTTCCAAGAATACAGCACCTGGCATTTCCCTTTTCCCGTACTTTCAAGCTTACATCATCAAGTATTCTCCACTTCCCGCTCTTCCAAGAATACAGCACCTGGCATTTCCGTTTCCCGCACTTTCAAGCTTACATCATCGTAAGAATACAGCACCTGGCATTTCCGTTTTTTCAAGCTTACATCATCATCTCCACTTCCCGCTCTTATTCACCTGGCTTTTCCCGCTCTTCCAAGAATACAGCTTACCTGGCATTTCCTTTTCGTGGCATTTTCAAGCTTACATCATCAAGTATTCTCCACTTCCCGCTCTTCAAGAATACAGCACCTGGCATTTCCGTTTTCCCGTATTTCAAGCTTACATCATCAAGTATTCTCCACTTCCCCTCTTCCAAGAATACAGCACCTGGCATTTCCGTTTTCCCGTACTCAAGCTTACATCATCAAGTATTCTCCACTTCCCGCTCTTCCAAGAATACAGCACCTGGCATTTCCGTTTTCCCGTACTTTCAAGCTTACATCATCAAGTATTCTCCACTTCCGCTCTTCCAAGAATACAGCACCTGGCATTTCCCGTTTTTCCCGTATTTCAAGCTTACATCATCAAGTATTTTCCACTTCCCGCTCTTCCAAAGAATACAGCACCTGGCATTTTCCTTTTCCCGTACTTTCAAGCTGCCACATCATCAAGTATTCTCCACTTCCCGCTCTTCCAAGAATACAGCACCTGGCATTTCCCTTTCCCGTCTTTTCAAGCTTACATCATCAAGTATTCTCCACTTCCCGCTCTTCCAAGAATACAGCACCTGGCATTTCCCTTTCCCCGTACTTTCAAGCTTACATCATCAAGTATTCTCCACTTCCCGCTCTTCCAAGAATACAGCACCTGGCATTTCCTTTTCCCGTACTTTCAAGCTTACATCATCAAGTATTCTCCACTTCCCGCTCTTCCAAGAATACAGCACCTGGCATTTCCGTTTTCCCGTATTTCAAGCTTACATCATCAAGTATTTCCTACTTCCCGCTCTTCAAGAATACAGCACCTGGCATTTCCTTTTCCCGTACTTTCAAGCTTACCCATCATCAAGTATTCTCCACTTCCCGCTCTTCAAATACATCATCTGGCATTATTTTTTTTCCCTACTTCCTTACATTCAAGCTCTACAGCACCTGGCATTTCCTTTTCCCGTACTTTTCAAGCATCATCAACAGTTCTCACTTCATCAAAGAATACAGCACCTGGCATTTCCCTTTTCCCTCTTCAGCATTTACATCATCGGTATTCTTCACCTGGCTCTTTCCCAATTTTTGGCATTTCAAGCTTACATCATCAAATTCCTAGTATTTCCCACTCTTCCAAGAATACAGCACCTGGCATTTCCTTTTCCTGCAATTTGCTTACATCATCTGTTTTCACTTCCCGCTCTTCCAAAAAATACAGCACCTGGCATTTCCCTTTTCCCGTACTATTACTTCATCAAGTATTCTCCATTCATCTTTCCGAATACAGCACCTGGCATTTTTTTTTACTTTCAGGCTTACATCATCAAGTATTCTCCACTTCCGCTCTTCCAAGAATACAGCACCTGTCATTTCGTTTCCCGTGTTTCAAATCTTACATCATCAAGTATTTTCCACTTAGCTCTTCCAAAAATACAGCACCTGGCATTTCCGTTTTCCGTACTTTCAGCTAACATCATCAAGTATTCTCTACTTCCCGCTCTTCCAAGAATACAGCACCTGGCATTTCCCTTTTCCCCACACTTTCAAGCTTACATCATCGGTTTCCACCGCTCTTCCAAGAATACAGCACCTGGCATTTCCGTTTTCCGCACTTTCAAGCTTACATCATCAAGTATTTTCCACTTCCTGCTCTTCTAAAGAATACAGCACCTGGCATTTCCCTTTTTCCCGTACTTTCAAGCTTACATCATCAAGTAGCATTTTCCACTTCCCGCTCTTCCAAGAATACAGCACCTAGCATTAGGTTTTGAGCGGATTTCATCTAGCATTAACATCGTCAAGTTTTACAGCACCTGGCATTTCCTTTTCCGTATGATTTCAAGCTTACATCAGTATTCTTACTTCCCGCTCTTCCAAGAATACAGCACCTGGCATTTTCCTTTTCCCGTACTTTCAAGCTTACATCATCAAGTATTTCACTTCCCGCTCTTCCAAGAATACAGCACCTGGCATCGTTTTTCCCGTATTTTCAAGCTTACATCATCAAGTATTCTCACTTCCGCTCTTCAAGAATACAGCACCTGGCATTTTTTTTTTCCCTTTCAAGCTTACATCATCAAGTATTTTCACTTGCTCTTCAATAGAATATGGATAACCTGGGTTTTTTTTTATCCACTTTCAAGCTTACATCATCAAGATTCTCCACTTCCGCAAGAATACACCCTGGCATTTCCGTTTTCCCGTACTTTCAAGCTTACATAATCTTGCATTCCTACTTGCTCTTCCAACCAATGGCACCCATTTTTTCTTCCCTGGCCATTCAGCCAAGAAACCAGTTCCCTATTTTCACTGTTATCAGCAAATTTTCCCGTTCTCAAGGCTTAAATTCTCAGTTCAACTCTTTCCGCTCTTCCAATTTCAGCATGGCATTTTTTTTTTCCCAATTCAAATTTACAGCACCAACCAACTTTCACATTTCCAAAAATAAATCATATACATATTTCTCACTAAGATAACTAACATCAGCCTGATATTTCCTACAGACCAAGCCATGGATGAACAGCATCCTGGCATTTTCCTGACTTCCTTTTCCAAAAAGCTTAAATTGGGGGTAACCCAGACTTCCCGCATTCCGAAACTTTCAGTATATCATTACAGACGTCGCATTTCCTAGCTTACATTTTTCCCCTGAAGCTTAAAACACCTGGTATTTTAATTGGGGGGAGAGAAAGGTTCAGGCTTTAGCATTCCCGACTCTCAGCATTTCCAAGATTACAGCACCCACCATTTCCCACTTCTCACGCTTCTAAGATAACAATGGCTGCTATTCTACATTTCCCGCACATGCAAATTTTCAGCAATTGGCATTTTCCATTTTCCGCTTTTCCAAGACAACAGAACCAGACATTCCAACTTTCAGGATATCACATTACCATTTCCCGAATTTTTTTTCCAATTGGCATTCTAATTTTCCCTTACAAAATACGGCATTTAGAACTTTTTCCAGGAATTAATGTAATCCGACATTCCCAAGACTACAAAAGCGACGTTAATCGCCATGACCGAATTTCGAGCACTTCCTAGTTTACAGCACATTGCTTTCTCGGCTTGATTCACTTCCATGTTTATGTCACTCGGCATTCGCCACTTCCCGCACTTCGGAAATTTACAACATTTAGCATTAGCCGCTTCTAGCACTTCCAAGATTGCCTCACTAGCATTCCCCACTTCCTGCACTTCTAAGCTACCATCACCCGACTTTATCCACTTGCAGCACTTCGAAGTTTACAGCAACCGGCATTCCTCACTTCGAGCACTTCCAAGCTTACTGCATATAGTATTCCCGGCTTGATTCACTTCCAAGTTTATATCACCGGGCATTTGCCCACTTCCCGCACCTTGCATTCGCCATTTTTAGCATTTCCTAGCTAACAACACCAAGTAAAAAATAGCTTCATAAATAGAGATATTAGTAGTATTATTAGTAGTAGTAACAGTAGTAACAGCCATTGATCAAATTATCAAATCGCTTCATTTTTTTTTTTTTGCATCAAGCCAAAACCAAATCATCAAATATTACTCGTTAATTATGAAATCAGGGGTCAATAATTGAAAGATGGATAAATGGCCAGAAACCAGAACTGATTGAACTTAAACTATCGTATTTATGACGACATTTAAATTCCAAAAATAACCCTTAAAAATTGGGGGTAGTCCTATACTGCAATTCTAAAAAAGAAACCTTAAATTCCGAGGGAGGTCTCTTTTTTTTTTTCTTCGTCTCGCTTCAGTTATGTGCCATGCGTGATACGAAGTAGGTTGCCATTTCTTACAGCGGTAGACCAGTTGCCATCCAAAGCTATAGAACTCGGTCTGTTATGCTATTTACCCATAGCTGGGGAGATGAAGAGGATTCATTCTCAAGGGTATTAGCACGTAAGTGAGTGTAATGGGTTCAACTGGAACTCGGCTCTCCAATTCCTCAATCCGAGTCGCTATCCATTTACTCCTCCTTGACTCACTGATTAGTAAATTTAAAATTATATTTAAATTTAAGATGTCAATAAATTTACAATAAATTTAAAATGCCCATACCTTTCGATACATGACTGACGAGGCAGATTTTTTACCCCCCAGTAGGTTGCCATTTCTTTCTGCGGTGGACCAGTTGCCATCCAAGGCTATAGAACCCGGTCTGTCCTGCTATTTGCTCATATAGGATTCATAATTTTCCCAAAGGTATTAGCGCGTAAGTGAATGGATTTGACTGGAATTCGAACACGGCTCTCCGATTACTCAGTCCGAGCCACTGTCAGTTATGTGGCATGCGTGATAGACGCGTAGACGATCATGTATCTTTCGATACATGACTGACGATGCATATTTTTTTTCCCCGAATAGGTTGCCATTACTTTCTAAGATAGATCAGACCTATAAAACTCGGTCTGTCCTGCTATTTACCCATAGCTGGGGGATTGTTTTCATCCTTCTGAACGGGTATTAGCACGTAACTGAATTTAAAGGTTCGACTTTAATTAAGCTCTCAATTCCTCAATCCGAGCCGCTATCCATTACTCGTCCATGCCTCACTGATTAGTATATTTAAAATTTATTTTTTAAAAATGTCCAATAAATTTAAAATGTCCGTTGCTGATTAATTTGATAACTGATTCAGTAATTTATTGCCATGCGTGATAGACGCGTTATTTTCACTTTCGGACCAATGAGAGAATTTAATTTATTCGTTTGCCATTACTTTCTTTAGACCAGACTTATAAAACTTCGGTCTGTCCAGCTATTTTCTTTGAGTGCGGAGAGAAGAAAAATTTATCCTTCTCCCAAAGTTCCATTTTTAAACGATGGACTCGATTTTATTCGAACTCGTCCTTTCCTGATTTTCCGGCTCCTCAATTGAGCCGCAATCAATATTCCACCGTTTTTGTTTATTTGTTTGTTTACTTTTTTTGTTTGTTTGTTTTTGAAGAGTCCTGTGAATTTAAATAGAATTATGGCATTGAGCGGATAATCGGCCTGCGTCTTCCTTTAGCAATTTGACAGGAGAAAATTTGCGGGGATATTGAACCCGCAAACAAACACTGAATTATCTTTTAAAAAATATATATATATATATATATTTATATATATATATATATATATATATATATATATATATATATATATATATATATATAAAGTCCCCAAAAGAACAGTAAGATGGGTGTTCTTATAGATATTTTTTTTTTAAAAAATAGTGCTCAATGTAAATCGTCTGACATTTATTATAAATTAATTGATTTAAAAATATGGTTTTTTTCTACACAGTTCAAACCATGTTTCAAAAATAGGTTTAGAAACCCTGAATTTAATTTTGCAATTAAATTAAAAGCATTAGTTCCATTTCATCTTCAAGCGAATTTGATGTACTTTTTAAAAATTACCGGGTTTTAAAGACACAGCTAAAATCACGTTTCCATGGTTACAGAATATTCTCTTAAATTGAACAAGGGATGTCTAGATTTTCCTTATTGTATCATTGTATCAGTTATGAATTCTACAATTTGGTAGGGATAGGGATGTATTTTTACAATGAAACCTGACATCAGTTGAATGGATGTCGTCTGAATTTTATATATATATATATATATATATATATATATATATATATAATATTAGTGGTAAATATACATACATATGCAAAATATATAAATACCCATACATGTATATTTTTAGAATAAAAATTCAAGAGGAAGAATCCAGGTGAACTCAATGTCCAGGACAAGAAAAGGATATAATAAAAGAGCTTAAACACTAATATTCCATGGTCATAATTTATTCCATTTGAATTGTGATCAATTCATCAGACCTACAAATTCAAAAAGATTAAAAAAACATAGAAACAACTCCGGAAATAAAAAACAGAATTTAGAGAGAGTGTAAGTATGAGGGGAGGAGATTAAACCTTAACAGAGAGAATTTTAGGAAAATGTCTTTATGAATTAGACATAAACAAATTTATTTTCTCTTACTTAAAAACCTTCCACCCACCTCTCCTGAGTTGTAATTAGAGATAGCCATTTGGAACATGACGTGCTCTTGTATTCTCTGTAAAGATAGTCTTTTGCAACATGATGTGTTCGTGAATAATGTGTATAGACAGTCATTTGCAACATGATCAGTTCCTGACTTGTGTGCAGACAACCCTTACAATATATCCTATTTTCTTTTTAAGGGTCAGAAAGAAGGCGTGTAACACATTTTTAATATACTGTCGAAATATTTTCGCCTTTTTGACAATGAAACGTCATATTCCGTTTTGATATTTCTATCGAGCTGTCTTTATTTTTTCTTTATTGTACACATAATTGGTTAGGTATCTGTTTCGACGCCCCCCCAAAAGTTATCTGTGGCCTCCACAGCGCCAATTCCACTTTTGAGCACTCACTGAACCCACTAATCTTTTTACCTGTCCTCCATGATAATAATAATATATTTTTAATTCATAGGCTTTAGTCAAAATGTGTTCCAGGTTTTTGTTTTTACGGCTATATGTTGATTGTTTGTTTGGATTCCAGTGTAGAAGAAGGTAGAAATCAATGAACGGCATGTTTATCTAATTGGCAAACATAGAGATTTGTGCCTTAAAACAACGGAGTGTCAAAACGGACGGGTTTTCCCTTGACGCTGCTGTTATTTTAACT